CCGACAACTTAAAAATTTGATCATCTCCGCCGTGTAAGAAACTGTTTAAGTTATTTTGATATGCACATTATAAGGTTGAAAGGTTTTTTTGCAATGGTCCAGGCTGCGCATGCCGGATATTATACTCCCACACAAATTTTTTTGCTCACGCGTTTTCATTTCTTTTAAACGGATCAATAACAAATTTTTCTCGCCAGTTTTTGTTTTCCCTCCCTTCTTTTTCAGGGAGAAGAGGTAAATTTACTTTTGAGAGGTGCGAATAGGCTTAACAATAACGAAAACAATACCACGAAAAGTTCATTGTTTCGATGCTGCGCCTTCTTCAAGTTGATGAGCAAAGTCATATTCTCTAAGGGAAAAAACGCGGGTTTATCTTAACCAATGTGACTCGCCACCTCGCGTTTATTTGAGTAATAATGGCAATATGACAGACCTAAGATATTTCATGAACTGTACGTAAATGTCCCGAGAACAGTAGGCATTCTGCACGATGTTTGCTTCGTCAAGATGCGTTTTCTCTGACGAGTGGGAATTGCAAATGATTAGACTTCAGCAGAAGAGAAAAGTTTACCATTAATAGTCACACCTTATATAAAATGCTGCCATCAAATTCCTTTTTACTACAATTCTGGCCTGACAGTCTCAGTACTTCTAATCGCCCTTACCTGAACACCTTACCTAAAAAACTTGCATCCCTGCTTGGGATACGTAACACTGTCAATAAGTAAAAATTGAGGCGCGGACTCGGTATTGGGGCCCCATGGTATGGAGCGGCCATCCCTAAAGTCATTAGGGACGCTTCATCCTCACAGCTTTTTAAAGGAAAACTTAAAAGTGCTTCCAGGTCTCTCGACCAGATACAATTTGAAAAAGAGGCTTGTTTAATTGATTCTAAAAACCCAAATTTTTTTATATTTTTCAGATTTCCTTCCTTAACTAACCCTAACCCTAACCCTCAATGTTAGGTTAGTTAAATTTTATGGCAGGTCCACACCAGCCCTAAGGTTGCCACATTCAGACCAACCTTATCAAAATGTATGTATGCTTCGCTTGCCTCTGTCATGTTATGCATCACTGATATTGAAAATGACGGAGTTCATTAATAAAGTTTTGATGTTTCAGCGAGTGGTAAACGTTTTGGTTTACTGCGGTTCTACAATGCATGAACTTTGCCCTCCTTTCTTTCAGCAGAAACACCCAAACTGGAACTGAAAAATTTAAATACGGTAGTATCTAAACGTTCTGCTTCTGCGTCAGAGAAAACTGTTCCAACAAAAGTTAACCCTTTTCTCCTGACACCTTGGCAGAACGAACTTGATGTCCCAAACTGGATATTTCTTCTTAGAGTTCTTATTCTTCTCCATCCATCACTTGCTTAATTTCAGTTTTTGTGTACACTAATTGTAGCCGGCGACAGTTCCTTATTAAATCTTCTTGGTTTAGATCTCGCGTCTCCCGCTGGGTAGAACAAAATATTTAGAAGTTAATACTCCAGCTTTTAATCTCTCCGGCGGTCTAACGCAAAACTGACAGCAGCCTTAGTCAACGCTTTGACACGGCACTTTCCTCATTCCTAAAACACGAGCGCACAGATCTGGACTTCTAGATAAATCGTTATAAGTTAAGCCTTATTGACCAAGTAACCTCTTGTTTAGTTATTATAAACTTGGATTTCGTTGTTTTGAGCTTAATTTATTTTCGCATTGCTTCGATTTGGAATATTTAAACCTGAACAAGCGTTTCGAACGCTTGAGGAAGGACTTATTGTTTACCCTGCAACTCACTTGATCTGACCAAATGTCTCAAATGTATGTTGTTTACGCTTCCAGATCAGACAGCAACGTCTTAAGAACTAGCATTTATTTTTAAGACGGAGCAAAGCCATACATAGCAAGCCGAATGAGAACTGTGCGGCTCGTAGAAAACGTGGGGCAACATTCGCGATGAACTGTTCAGAATAATAGAAAACATTATCAATTAGAGAGCATTCATGTGTTCTAATCATGTCTAATCGATTCGGGCGACACGTATGCAAATAGCATTCGAAAAATTACTAGCGTTTTGATTTCTTCTCTCAGTAGAAAGAGCGTGTTTGTTTGCTCGAGGTCATTTTATCTATTTCTGAACGAAAAGGTGTTTCTTTTCCAGTATAAGTGCTGGGATTAAACGAGATTTTCAAGATGTTCATCCCAAGAATTTGCTGGCTTTACGGTAATTTTTTGGTTACAACTCCCTGAATATGTTGATATTACCTATTAACGCGTAAAGGGAAATCTCNCTGCCATTCATAATTTGGAAGAAACAAATTTTAAAGCTTGATGATGTTCTTAACCCCAAGACTCCGAGAGAACGCCCCTCAAAAGTTCACAACTATAATCATGATATTAGGCACGCTTTCAAGCAAAGTCAGTGCTGGACAGTTTCCAGAACAAATTTATGGCCTTCAACAGAAATAATGTACACACTGCGGTCATAAACACGACAAAAGAACCCATGTTGTAAGAAAAAAAAATTGATTTATGACTTGACGTTTCGTTTATCAAGTCCTCAATCAAAGTTTTTTTTACAACATGCGTTATTTTGTCATATGTTTATACCCGCAGTGTTTTATTATTTCTGCATGTTCGAGTTGAAATGGCCGAAGAATATGAGTTTTTACAAATTATCGAGAAACTACTACAAATGAATTCCTTTCAATCAATTCCAAAAGAGAACATACGCTGTTTATCCTTGGCAGCTAGTCATGAATACAGCTAGTCATGAATGCGTTATTTTGTCATACATGTCTGTTTATATCCGCAGTGTTTTGTTATTTCTGCATGTTCGAGTTGAAATGGCTGAAGAATATGAGTTTTTACAAATTATCGAGAAACTACTATAAATGAATTCCTTTCAATCAATTCCACAAGAGAATATAGACTGTTTCTTCTTGGCAGCTAGTCATGAATACAGTTAATGCTGGTAATAGCTACTTTGTTTACACTTCTTTAACATTTTATTGTATTCTGCTGTAATTTCATTGCCTGGGCTGATCTAGGGGGGTTTCGGGGGGGTTCGGCCATTCAGAATACCGGAAATCCCCTTTCTGAAGACCTCAATTTTAACAATTTTCTCGACCCCTTAAAGGGGAACGCCTTTTGCGCGTCCGTTTCTCAAACCCCCTTCTCTAAAGTCCTTTATCCCCCAGTTGTGGCCAACTCGAAAGCGTCTGTTCTTTTGGTCACTACACACTTCTTTCTGCACGTGTTTTTCCTGTTATTTTTTTAATCTTCCTGTATTTTTTTTACTGCTGTTAACTATAAAACCATGTTAATTAGTGTAATTAAAATAAGTGCGAATAAAATGAATTTAAACTTGGAAAAAGTAACGTTTAGCCCCCCTCCACACCTTAAAAAAATAAACTGACAAAATACAAACAACGAGTAAAAATATTATATAGCGACACTACACACTAAAATATCTGATAAGATGTTTATTAGCCAACTGCTGTAGTCGATAAATTTATCAGCGAAAGAGGGGGTGTGACAGTTTGCATGCGCGTGCCGACCTGCCAAGTTCGTTTTCTACGGTACAAATAACTAATTATGAAATATCGCTGTATATTTGTACTCGTTTTGCGCGATATTTGGACCGACATTCTCAGCAGTTTGATAATAATAGGCAATATGACAGACCTAGGATATTTCATGAACTGTAAGTAAATGTCACGAGAACCGTGACAATACTCATTCCACGTCATGGGAGTTGTTATTTTTACGCGCCGCAGGTAAACTTCTTATGTAAGACTTATCAGTCTTGGATAATCTCTTCTTTTTTTTTTCTAGCCGTGTAAATTGTGCAAATTAAATGCGTTTAACATTCATTGATTTAGCCCAGTGACGTCTTGTTTTTAAGCTCAATTGGACTCTAGTCAAGAGACTGTCCGACTCACAAGACCTGTACGTGAAACATCTTCAAAGTGTGTAATGTTTTCGCATTCGCCGTCGCAATGTAAATAACACGCTATACGATCTTTATATGCGACAGCAGGTGTATTTAATTTCCGATAACAGCATAATTCTGTTTTTTTTTCCTTGCTTTATCCAGAACATGAGTTATATTTCTCTCATCCGCTGATTTAGGTCGAGTATTAAGACCGCTTTCAACACCTTTGTCGTGCGATAAAATATTTAATAGATATTTTAAAGCAGCTTTGTTTCTTTTTTTGCCAAAGAAGTGATCTGAGAAAAAAATTAAACGTGTGGAGCGACTGGGAAAGTATGGAATTCCGTGTTGTTTTTACTCAAGAGGAACTCGGCCAATTCAATAACCGTATGTCTAAAAGACGCTGAAATTAAAGTATTTAAAAAATTGAAGATATCCAGGTAGAGGGACTTATGGCCGCTCTAAACTCGCTTTATAAGAGCTGTCACTTTTGTCGATTATCCGGGAGGCTTTTTGGACGTTTCCTGATCGCGTTTCTCTGACATTTAAAAACACGCAACGTATTCAAATAAAAGATAGCGACGTTTTGTTTTTCAATAGAACAGCTGTCCGATAAATAATTTTCCAAGTGGCCCAACAGCGAATCACTTCAACAAATTAGCCTTTGCCTCGTCCAAATTGGCTGTCGTATTTTCATTCGACACATGTAGTTTCTCAGTACAGACTACCGGATTAAGGGCATTTATCTCAGTGTATTTAATACCGGATTTATGGCACGATGAAGTGACACTAGCAAATGCACTGGCTACACATATTTGCCACTGTAAGATACCTGCGGCATAACCTCAAATGTTAAATATTATGGACAATTTTTCTATTTTACCACCAGAAGCACTACTTAATTAATTAAGAGTTGAGTCACAAAGTCTCAATATGAATGAAATAAATGCCATGAATAGCTTTATACTTGCACTTTCCAGAAGGAAAGTTCATTTCGTGTTGAAAAAAAGCGCTACTATTTCAAAGTTATATTCTGAAAAGGCTAGACCAAATTAAACTACTGAACACGTTTGACAAATTCTCATTTGTTTCCATCAACTCAGTATCATACTCGTTCATTAGGCTGCACCATATTAACACGGTGAACCTTCGTGTGAGATTTCTCCCGCAGAGAAAAACGTTGTATTTGAACTACAGAGTTATCCGAACAAAACAAACTCCTGAAAGCCTTCCGGTAATTTTCGCTTTGAAACGCGTAAAGCACAGGATTCAGAGAACTGTTCGCAACGATCAGAAAAGTTAGAACTTTTAACACGGTCAATTCAGTTTGGTTTTCTCCATGCTCTGTAGTAAAATGTTTTCTCAACGCAACGTGTAGCACAAATATTGCGAAAGGTAGAAACAGGATGTAAAACACAACCGTCACAGCAATTATAAGAATGGCGAGCTTTTTTTTCTCGGCATTTCCGTTCGCTGGTCCCGCGCAGATGGTGCGAGTTATGAACATTCCCCGTAGAATCTGAAAGTAACAGAACGTTATAATCACGAGAGGTACGAAGATATACAAACTGATGGCTATGATAACATAGGTAGCTTTGCCGCTACGTACATCCACTTCTGGACCAAGTGGAGACACGCATTTCCCTGTTGTGCGGTCGACGTGAGTGAAAATGAAATCTGGGACGCTTATCAGCATCGAGATAATCCATGTTGCAGCGATGGCGTAAATTACAGTTTTCTTGGTGAGGGTGTACTTTGCCGTCATGGGTGTGACAAGCGCTTGGTGGCGCTCTACAGCCAACACAGTTAGCGTGAAAATCGTAACACCCAGACAAAGCGTGTCCATAGGATCGCCAGTGAAAAATCTACACAAATAGTCGCCCAACTGTCCTTCAGGGAAGGAGCCAACGACAGCAAAGTTGTAGGTACCAGGGCACCATAACAAGACGAGAATATCGCTCGTTGCCAAATTCACTAGCAAGTAGTTCGTCGTCGAGTGCATCGTCTTCGTTTTCCATACCACTGCAATGACCAACGAGTTGCCAAAGATTCCGATTAATATCACAACGGCGTAAAAGACCGCCAAGGCAATATCGCCGGTATCAGACCTGTCGGAACGCTGTGCTTCTCGTCGCGAGTCGTCCATGTTTTTAAAGTACCGCTGCCGAATCAACAAGAAAGAGAGACTTGCGTGACTGAAACCTTGGCTTAATTTTACGTACATATGTACGTGTTCAGCAATACGACGCGGATAACATTTAGCAGCGGAAACAATTAAACGATATTGGTGAACGTACGTTGTTAAATAGGACGCAGTGTGTTTTTTTGTTGTTTGTTTTGTTGACTTCCAGTTACACCGACGTTTCAAAGGAATTGCTATCGTTTCGATCAGTTAACGAAGTGCAATATTGATTTATAATCTTCAACCTGGGGGATATTCCAAAATTTGCATTCGGCATGGAGAGCAATTTGTTTAATTTTCCATGTGTTTACCAAAAGCTGAATATTCGGCCCGGAAGAAGATGCAAATTTTTCTGTTTTGATTAAAGAAAAGAAAATACAATTTAGGCTACAAAGAGTTTATGGTGTTTTCCAAGAAACTCTTTTTTCTTCCTTAGGATAACCCATGCTGTTGTCAATCAAATCAAGGACACTTCAGGAGATTCGACCTGTCGCTCGGAGATGTACCGCGTCCCAAGGGCAGACTTAGCAGACTGCCATCTCTGAAAATAATAGAAAAAAAAAAAACCAAAGAAAACGAAGAGACATGTGTAAATTATGTGTCGCTTGAAAGCCTCAATTTGCATGCCACGTATTCTACCACAACGCTTCTTAAACTTTGTTTTATGCGTAGATTAAACAAATATTTTTATATTCCATATGTGAATCCAAAAGAGTGTAAAACCATCGGATGCTATAAATCTTCGTCGGGACATTTGTTGCACTTTTGATTGCCAGCATATTTTTACAAAGCTTGCCTTAATATATTGTGGGTTTATTTTTGTTACTTAAACATGAGCTTTACACCATGCACTGTAACTGAAATTTGAAAGTCTGCCCGCGACTTTGTCTTAACCCGGTAAAGTCTCCGGAAATCGGAAAGCTTACAGCATGTAAGGACCGTCAAATATTTGCACGGAAATTATATGTACGATAAAAAACCTTTTTGCACTTGACTTTTTTGCTCCTTTCATTAAATCGACCATCGTAATGGTGTCTACTTGAGGCGGTCTCGCTCTTTTCTTATAGTTTTTCTCTTTTCCCCATTCGATTGTCGCGAGGTTGTCATTCTCGTTGTCATTACGTTTTGTAATTTGGCATCAGTTACGTACATCGCAGAAATTGGTGACTTTAAGAATGACTTAAAAAAAAAAAAAACACCGAAAAACAAAACCCGGGAAAATTGCCATGATTTTGTTTTCTTTTGCTCTAATCTTAAAATCAAGTAACACAAGAGTAGGGAAAAAATCCTATTAGTAGCAAACAGAAATATTATCTCTTACTTTGCTGTGTAAACGGCTAAACGGCGAACGTTTGCCGAATCATCAAGATCACCATGGTAACACTGAGAGCTATTTGGGAAACAAAACCCGTTTTGAGGCGGGGGGCGGGGAGGGGTGGGTATTATTAGAAGGCTGGGATCGAGATGTAATGAAGGGAATTACCTTTCGGTTAAGAGAATAAGAGATATTACACTCACTGCCTTCTAATCCGTTTATTCTCAAGAAAATATGCAGTTTCAAAAGAGACGATTTGTTTTTGCGGAACGTCGGCTATCAACAGTCAAACCGGTCTATATAATGTATTAATTTTGTCAAATCCCTGTGAATACGGTTGTATGATTGCTTCAGTTCAGGACAATTTGTTGATCAATCCAGTCGCGAAACTCGCTGACACGAGCGAACACTGTGCACTGTTTGCTCTGCTGAACAAAGTTACAATTCGAAGAGCCTCAACTGACCGCACCCTCTAGGACAAACTTCCCGGATGTCGAGTCCTTGCAGACAAATGGTCCACCACTGTCACCATGGTAGCCACCTTGCATATCACTGGGATCCAGATCTCCGGCGCGAACCATTTGACGGGTAATGTTCAATCTTCCCGCCACAGGTGACACAGCAAGCTTCGCGGAGCATTCGGCATTGGAGACGAGCGGGAGCTGGGCCTGTTGAAGTTTGTGGTAGGAGCCTCCTGGATGTTTCACCTTACCCCACCCTAAAAGGGAAAAGTTGCAGAAGATGAGCCAATATCCAGCCGTATTGACCTTACAAGTTTGGTTAATAACCCATATTAAATTTAAAATTCAGGGAAGTTATCAGAGCATGTATATGGGATAAGAAAAAATATCCGTGAGGAGTAAAATACCAAAAAATGATATAAAAGCCTGTTTTGCTGTCATGATCTATGACTTAGGAACCCAATGGTCCAGTTTACATCTTCATTTCTCCGTCCATCAGTTATTTTACCCATCTTTTTCTTCTCTTTCAATTCATAAACATAGTTAAGTATTTACGGGAAGTTTTATGGAAAACGTCGCACG